GCTGTGGGTTGACTGTGCAGTTTCCCTGTGCAGTCCCATCTTCCCTTCCAAACTGAGCTCTGTGGAGAATTGTGTCTGTGTTCTTCCTGCCTCAGCTGGCAGGGAAGTGGCTCTGCCGCCTGGGCGGTGCCCGCTCCTCCTCTGCGCCCGGAGGGCCGTGGATTTCCTGGCAGCGTTTCCCCAGCCCGCTAATGAAACCCGGTTAGTGGTTATGAATGTAAATGCATTCCTGTTGTCCCTGCCAGATCAGGATTAGCGAGATGACAGAATTTATTGCTTCTGTTAGGAAGATATGATATTGGTGGTTGTTGTGTTTTTAATTCTGTAGGAAGAACAAAAGTATAGTGCTACATAATCTAAATAAACATAAAGCCGTAGAAGAAAAAAATTAGCACAAAACACTGAAGAGAGAAGCTATTCAGGTCTAACTTAGAAGGAAACTGGAAAACGTGTCTATAGTCTCCTTTGTATTCAACCAAAACCCCCAAACCAAAAGCAAACAAAATCTCTCATCTGAACCCCCACTGAAGGGACTCCTTGGTTTGGTTTTGGTGGCGGGGCCGGGGAGGGGGGTAGGTACCAGTTAATGAGTTTGGGCTCATGGCAATTCATTTGTCTCTACAAAAGGAAGTAACCATTGTTCCCACTTACCCTCAGATACAGTCTGAATAAGTAAAAATACAGTGCTCAGCCAGGCACTGGTGTTCACACCTGCAATCCTAGCTACTCAGAAGGCTGAGGTTTGATGATGGCAGCTAGAAGCCAGCCTGGGCAGAAACGTCAGTGAAACTCTTACCTCTAATTAACCAGCAAAAAAACTGGAAGTGGAGGGGTGGCTCTAGTGGTAGAGTGCTAGCCTTGAGTAGAAAAAGCCAATAAAGGACACAAAGTCCTAAATCCAAGCCCCAGTATCAGCATAAATAATAATGATACTTATCTCACACCTGGCTATAAGAGTCTGGAGGAAGCAGGGCGCCAGTGGCTCACGCCTGTAATCCTAGCTACTCAGGAGGCTGAGATCTGAGGATCACGGTTCAAAACCAGCCTGGGCAGGAAAATCCGTGAAACTCTTATCTCCAATAAACCACCAAAAAACCAGAAGTGGCACTGTAGCTCAAGTTGTAGAGCGCTAGCCTTGAGCTGAAGAGCTGAGGGACAGTGCTCAAGCCCAGAGTTCAAGGCCCACAACCAACAAAAACAAAACAAAACAAAAAGAGTGGAGGAAGACCAGCAGGCCTGTGCTCCAGGACCCCATAAAGCAGCAACGGTTCCCATCCTCCTCTGTCCTCCAGGGGGGCAGGGAGCTCCAGGACATCCAGACTGAAGCACTCTGAGCAGGCCCCATTCTTTCCCACAAAACAGCTAAAACTAGAAAATTATACAGTGACTTCAGATATAGATAAAATACAGAATGCAGGTTTAAAGAAACTCAATGGGAAAAAAATTAAACCTAATATTAAATGAACACTTACAAAGCAATTAAGACAAAAAAAAGGCTTCATTGAAAAATAGGTGCTGTAGTTCAGTAGTAGACCAACTGCCTGACATGTGTGAGATCCTAAGGTGCACCTCTGAATCATTAAATATAAGTAAATAAATATGCAGAAGAAATTAAGCCAATAGACCAAGGATATAGAGACAATTTACAAAAGATGAAAAACATGTCCAATTTTGCACCAAAATATGTTTCACATTACCAATCTCACAATGTAATCACGAAGACCACAATGAAAAACAAATTGGCAAAGGTTCGATTATTACCTGTAGTGAGTGGAATAAACTTGACAGCCCCCTGCATGAAGATGGCCACATCCCGGCCCCATGATGAAGTTACACAAAGATTTCTGCATCCCAGCCCCGGTGATGAAGTTACACAAAGTTATCGGAATCCTAGCCTGGGGGATAAAGTTAGGGATCCTGAGATGAGAGATTGTCCTGTGCAACTGAAGTGGGCCCAATGCAATGACAGGGACTTTGAAGAGGGAGGCATGAGGGTCAGTCAGAAGAGATGTAACAAGGGAAGCAGAGGTCAGTAAGACAGAGAGAGAGAGTTGATGATGCTACATTGCTGGCTTTGAAGAAAAAGGAAGGGAGCCAGGAGCCAAACATTGCAGGCAGCTTCTAGGAGCCAAGAAAGGCAGAGAAGCCTTCTCCCCTAAGCCTCAGGAAGGAGCAAAGCCTGGATAACGCCTTCTGACTTCCAGAACTATAAGAAAATAAAATCATGTTGTTTTAAGCTGCTACTACAGCAGCTATAGCAAACAAATGCACTGACAAAACACAGAGACAGTGAAGAGGAGGAGAAAATGGGCATCTGGTGACCTAGGAGTAGTCGCACACCACTGGGAAAGGACTTGGTCTTTGATCTAACCCATTAGATCATCCTAAGGTATTCAGGGATCTTTCTAAAGCCGTATATCTGGGAAGATATACACTAATACCAAAGAACTGCAAATTTAGAAAGCACTTAAATATTTACTTTTTGTAATTTTACATTTTGTAAGCAATTGCAGGTGTACAGAAGGAGAGTCAAAAAATTCCTGTGCTCCCTTCCTTGGATGCTCTCCTTTGCCAGGCACTGTTTCAGAGCCAGGAAGTGCTTGTTAATAGGGAAGGAAGTTTTCACCCAGTCATGAACAGGGCACTACCCACAAAAACTCAAAACCAGGGGCTGGGAAGGTGGCTCAGTGGTATAGCGCTTGCCTTGCATGCATGAGGCCCTGGATTTGATTCCCCAGCATCACATAAGCAAAGCCGGAAGTGGCTGTGGCACTAGCCTTGAGCTGAAGAGCTGAGGGACAGCACCCAGGCCCAGAGTTCAGGCCCCACGACCAGACCCCTCCCCCCCCCAAAAAAACTCAAAACCAGCAGGAGACAGTGGCTCACACCTGTAATCCTAGCTACTCAGGAGGCTGAGATCTGAGGGTTGCTGTTCAAAGCCAGCCTAGGCAGGAAAGTCTGCAAGATTCTTATCTCCAATTAACCACCAGAAAACCAGAAGTGGCACTGTGGATCAAGTGGTAGAGCGCAGGCCTTGAGCTGGAGAGTTCAAGCCCCACAAGCTCTCCTTCCCCCACCCCACAAAACCCCTCAAAACTGTACTAATCTGTTACTCTAGAATCCCATTCATTCAGCCTCTGTGGCTACTAGCTACTGCTGCTCCTCCCCCACCTTCCCCAGCACTGGCGTGTAAATTCAGGGCCTTAAGCTAGCTAGACAGGTGCTCTACACTGAGCCACTCTACTAGTACCTTTCCACATTGGTCTTGCCTTTATGCCTATACTGGCCTGACTGTGATCCTCCTATTTTGCTTCCTTTTGTTGTTTAGATGGCAGTCACACACCACCATGCTCAGCCACTGTACTTCCCTGTGGCTGGGATAAAAGGCACATGCCATTGGGCCAAGCCATTGGTTGAGATGGATTCTCTTGAACTTTTATGCCCAGGCTGGCCTCAAACTGCCATCTTCTAATTTCTACCTTCCAAGTTGCTCAGGTTACAGTCTTGAGCCACTTCTCCCACTGCTGCTTTTTAACAACAGCAGCTGCCCTTGGCACTGTCTGTGGGCAGCCTAGTCAGCAGATGTCATAAACCTGAACACTGGAATTCCTATCTCCATCCTAACATAAATAAAGAAGCCCAGGCCTTTGAGAAAAGGGCAGAGGTGCTGAGGCCTTGTGACCGGTGGTGCAGGACCAGCATCTGAACCAGACAGGGAAATCCCAGAGTGCACAGTGGATTTCCCAATGCGTGCCTCCACCTCATGCTGCACACGACTGCGGTCAGCAGGAGCCCTGGCTTCCTGCCCCTGCACTGGCCACTGCAGCTCACGAATCCCATTCTACCTTACTTGGACCTCACTTGGAGTGCCTTGTGAGGGGTTTGGTCAGATCTGCAAGCGAGCCCTTTCAGCTGGAGGTTAGAGTGAGCAGCATGTACCTGTGGGCTTCCATCTAAACTCACTCCTCCTAGAAAGTGGCCAGAGGAGGCAGCTGGCCTCTGATGAGTGAGTATCTCACTCAATGTCCATTCCACACAGCAGACGGCTATGTCATGGGGGTCCACTTTCTCCTCAGTAAGTATACACCCACACCAGATGTGATCAGTGAGCTTGCATGAGGGTGCAGTACCCAGCCCTTGATACAGAGGAGGAAGATGTGGGTGAGTGGAAAATGTACTCACTAGGGCAGACACTTAAGGTCTAGCAGAGTCCAGGCACTGACAGCCACATGGCCTCAGGAAACCTGACTAGAAGTAGCTCTAAGGCTCCCCCCTTCTGGAGGTCGGATCTGAGAATTCTCTCAGGTGACAGCAGGGATCTAGAAAGGTTACCCAGTTCTGCTTTCTAATCAACCCCACTAAGGACCAACAACCCTTCCAGCCTCACAGCTGCAGCGCTGTCCAAGTACTCTTTTTTTTTTCCTGGTCATGGGGCTTGAACTTTGAGTCTGAGTGCTGTCCCTCAGCTCTTCAGCTCAAGGCAAGAGCTCTACCACTTGAGTCATAGTCCCATTTCTGGTTTTCTGGTGGTTAATTGGTGATAAGAGTCTCGCAGACTTTCCTGCCCAGGCTGGCTTTGAACCATGATCCTCAGATCTCAGCCTCCTGAGTAGCTAGGATGACAGGCGTGAGCCACCAGCACCCAGCTCACTCTGACTTTTTAGTAGCTGATTTTTGTATTTCACTCCAGGAAGGACGTGAGAAGTAGTGGCTGCGCTGGCTCTGGATGTTAAATGTTTTCAGGTAGGAGAAGCAAAGCTTCCCAAGAAACAGGACTTCCACAGGGACAAGCATACCACCACCACACACTCAGCTTCCAAGACCAGGGGTAGGCGCTGAGCAGCATTCCTAAGGAATGAGGCCCAGAGACTTAGCTTCCAACACCCAGTTCCATTTCCCAGCTGCCTCCCTCAACCTGGAGGCTCCTCACACCGCAGGCCCGGCCAGCCCGGAGCCCAGAGCCCGCAGCACAGGAGCAGTGAGCAGGAAGTGGGGCGTACCTGTGATCTCCTTGTCAAAGTAGGGCTGGATGAGATTGCCCAGGTTTGACTTGTCGGCCACAGCTTCTTTCAGCAGCTGCCCACAGCACACTAACAAAGAGAGGGACAGAAAGGACACCGTTAAATTTTAACTAGAAGGAAGAATGAAGGAATAAAACAACAGAGCAGTGTTGACTGCTGGGGGAGAAAAAGGTCACTGAAAAAAAATTAAAGTGTGTGTGTGTGTGTGTGTGTCCAGTGGAAGTCAACATCAAAAAGGAGCAGAGAGATGTGGAATAACAAGGAATGCATTTGGCAAAGACATTAAAAAAAGGACAGCCAGGGAACACACTAACCAGGGTGTCGACAACCACAAGGCCCCTGCAGGACCCTGGCCGCTGAACGCACACGCTCAGGGTCACGGGTCAGGTTCCACACCCGGGTGGCGAGCTGCCTCCCCTGGCTGCAGAGTCACCGTGCACACAGAGAAGGTGGGGGACTGTGGAGCTTACACATCCCTTCTGCTGAGTAAGGTGCTCCAGAGATGACAGTAGGGCTGCAAAGACCACTAGTCCATATGCTGCACGTCCCAAGTCATAACTGAAGGCAGCACACTGGAGCCGCAGGCTGTCCCCTGGGTGCCTCCCGTCACAGTGTGGCCTCGCGCTTCACCTCCCCACTCATCTCCAGCCCTGCACTGTGCTGGCACATGGGAGCAGTTTGCCAAGAGAGGCTGAATGAATCAATACAGGCTAGTATTTTCCAGAATCTTCTAGAATCTTCCAGGCTAGGAAAGCCCTTAATAACCAATGTCAGAAGATTTAAGCTCAATTTTCATGAGTTGTTCATTGTACAACGTGGAAGTTCTTTTTACTTTTTTTCCCTTTTTTTCTTCCCTTCCTTTTTTTTCTCCCTTTCCTTTTTTCCCCCCTCCCTCCCCCTTCCCCCCTCCTTTCTTTCCAGTACCCAGCCAGAATTTCAACTTCTTTTGTGTGCCAGTCCTGGAGCTTGAACTCAGGGCTAGGTAATATCCCTGAGCTTTTGTGCTCAAAGCTAGTGTTCTACCACTTGAACAATAGCTCCTCATCTGACCTTGGTGGTTAACTGGAGATAAGAGTGCCATGAACTTTCCTGCCTGTACTGGCTTCCAACTGTGATCTTCAGATCTCAGCTTCATGGGTTCTAGGATTACAGGTGTGAGCTACCAGCACCTGTCTAGAATTTCAATTTTGATGACAAATCTTCACATATTCAAGAATCTTGAAGCTCCAAGCAAAATAACACAAAGTAAGCCACAGGGGCTCTGGCAGCATGGCTCGAGTCGTAGTAGGGCACCTGCCTACCAAGTGTAAGGCCCTGAGTTCAAATCCCAGTACCACCACCTACACACACACACAAAGCCACAGTTTTATACACTGTAGCCAAATTGCTAAACGCTATAGAAAAGGAGAAAAATACTAAAAGGAACCAGCAGGGGAGAAAAGATGCTTCAGACAGACAATGACAATGGAAAAAAAAATCGCCTCAGTTCTCATCAGAAGAAATGCAAGCCAGAAGACAACAGATTGACACCTTTAAAGGCTAAGAGGAAAAAAAATCTGCCAACATAGATTTCTATATGCAACAAAAAATCCTTCAAACATGAAGGCAAAGTAATGATATTTTAGACATATGAAAGCTGAGAGATTTTGTCACCAGTAGACATTGACTAAAAGAAATGTTAATGGAAGTTCTTTGGGCTGAGAGGAAATGATATGGGACAGAAGCCTGGATCTAAACCCAGGAATGAAGTGTTGATGTGTGGGGGACATAGAAAAGTCCTCCCACCCTATTTTTAACTTATTTAAAACACAAATGGGGAATGAAGGCATGATTCCATGGTAGTAGAGGGCCAGGCAATGAGTGAAAACAAGTGTCTGATACTGAGTTCAAGTCCCAGTTGAAGACAAAAAGGAAATAAATGAAGGCAGGAAGGGAGGGGAGGAAGGAAAGGAAGGAAGGAAAGGGAGGGAGGAGAGGAAGGAAAGGAAGGGAAGGAAGGGAAGGGAAGGGAAGGAAGGAAGGAAGACAGGAAGGGAGGGAGGGGAGGAAAGGAAGGAGAGAAGGAAGGAAGGAAGGAAGGAAGGAAGGAAGGAAGGAAGGAGGGAAGGAAAGGCAAATGACTCAGGATGGGCAAAGTGGCTCATTTCTATAATCCCAGTTACTCAGAAGATGGAGAATGGGAGGACTGCAATTTAAAGTCAGCCCAGGAAAAAAAGCTATCAATATCCCATCTCACCAAAAAGTGAGGTAGGAAGATATTAGTTTAAGGCTAGCACAAGGAAACAAAGACTCTTTTCTTTCTTAAAGGGCTGGGGGCATGGCTCAAGTAGTAAAACACCTGCTTAACAAGTGTGAGGTCCTGATTCAATCCCAAGAATCACCAAAAAAAAAGACAAATAACATAAAAGAATGTTTGCAGCAAATTGTAACTTTTAAAATGTACATAGAAATTAAATGCAGAACAAGAACACAAAGGACAGAAGAAAGCTAGACATGTACAATGTAAACATCATACATGTAAAGCTATAATATTAATTCAAAAAGGACTATAAAAAGTAAAGATGCACCACTAACAAAATAAACCAAAGAGCTATACCTAAAATGTCAGGTATGCAAGGCAAGTGCTCTACCACTGAGCCACCTTCCCAGCCCCCAAGCTAGATTTTTTTAATGGCAAAATCCAACTCTATGCTGCTCCCAGACACATTAAAAAAATAGGCAGATAATTTAAGAAAGAGGCATAAACATGCCAGGTGCTGATGGCTCACACCTGTAATCCTAGCTACCCAGGAGGCTGAGATCTGAAGATTTCAGTTCAAAGTCAGCCCAGGTAGGAAAGTCCGTGAGATTCTTATCTCCAATTAGCAGCAGAAAACCAAAGTAGTGCTGTGGCTCAAAGTGGGAGAGTGCTAGCCTTGGGCAAAAGAGCTCAAGGACAGTGCTCAGGCCCTGAGTTCAAGCCCTGTAATTGACAAAACAAAATTTTTAAAAAAGAGGGAAAAACAAACATTGCACAGACAGTATGGGAAAGTTACACCAGTGATATGGATATCAGACAAAAACACCTAAAGAAAATGAGTGCTAGTTACTAGAATCATTTCCCAACAACAAGAAGGTCATCTCATCAAGAAAACAGAACAACACACTGAACAAATCACACTGGCAGAAAATGGACAACATACAATTAGAGTTGGAGCTTTGCATGCATCTGTGTCACTAACTGAAACCACAAGCAGAAAGAAAGTCATTCAGGACATGAACAATGAATCTGTTATCTTACAATAATTGACATTTATACAATACTAGATGCAACAAGCAGAATACATATTCTTTTTGAATACATATGGAATTCCCCCAGTATAGACCATCTGCTGTGTTATTACAAAGTATCAATAGGAACAGGTCGGGTCTATCACTCCTGTAATACCAGAATTCAGTTGGTGGAGGCAGGAGAATCATGAGTTTGAGGCCAACCTGGGCTATATAGCAAAACCCTGTCTGAAAAAAAACAAGGGTTACGGATAGCACTTGCCTGATGTGCAAAGACCTGGATTCAATTCCAGTATAGTAACACACACACACACACACACACACACACACACACACACTTCAAAGAACAAAAATAAGTATATATTTTTGCCTACAATAGAAATTAAAATTAGTAATTAAAAATCTGAAGAAATCTCCCAATATTTGGAAATATACAATATACTTTTAAATAATACTTGGATATCCCCCCCAAAAAGCAGAGAAATTAAGAAGTTATTTTCAAGTGAATGTTAATGGAAATGCGGCAAACGGAAATAGGGTACAGCTGAAGCAAGTATAGAACTGTAACTGAACTGGCTGCATTAGGATAGGATGGCTTATGACCCCACAATGTCCCTGAAGGCAGCACTGAAACAGCCTCCTCTCTCCTCCACCCCCTACATCTGTGGGAAGGAGGAAACTGCCATCTTTTTGCTGATGTGATACTGCTGAGCTGTGTTCCCAGCCATTTTTCACTGGTTATTTTTAGGACAGGGTCTTGGCTCCCTGCCTGCCTGGGCATGTGCCCGAATCTCCATCTACCTGCTTTTAGATGGAGCCCATTTTTGCTGGGATAACAGGTACATACTGGTGCCCAGCTATGAGCTGAGAGGGCCTTGTGGAGTTCTCTGCCTGGGTTGGCCTGCAACAGTGATCCTCCCCTCTCAGCCTACCGCCTAGTTAGATTACTGGTGTTAAGTCCCCACCTAACAGTGACTGCCCTCTTGCTGTGGGATTTGATGAGGCATCTGGAGAAGAAATAACGGTGATGGAGCAAGGCTGTGGGACAGCACTGGTATCAGCCAGGGCTCATCTTGCTCCTCCCCTGCTGAGATCATAGGTCTAACTGCGTGCCTGAGTTCTTTCCCAGACTTTTCAAATCTGACTGTCCCTGTATGTCTGATAAAGTGCATCATATGTAGCAGATACTTGATACCATAAGTAACACTAGCAGTATTCTAATAAAATCTTTTGTGGTTATTTCTGATTGTAATATGCCACTCTCCAGGATGGTGGTCTATTCATTCGGTAACCGTCCATATTTGGTATACGGATGTTTCTTCAGATTCTGTATGAACGTGGAACAACATAACAGAGTGAGTGACTTGCTTTCTGCCTCTCCCTCAGCATTACGTCACTGATAGTACTTTCCAAGTTTCTTTGTGATAGTTGTGGGTTGCCTTTCGTTTTCCTTTTGAGTTCTTCTTGTCTCTCATTGCATATTTGGGAATTTCAGGTGAATCAAATTTAGGCGTGGAATCAACAGATTCAAAAGACTTGCATTGTTAACATCTTAACAATAGAAACTTTTTTTTTTTTTTGGCCGGTCGTGGGTCTTGAACTCTGGGCCTGGGCACTGTTCCTCAGCTCTTCAGCTCAAGGCTAGCACTCTACCACTTGAGCTACAGTGTCACTTCCGGCTTTTTCTGCTTATGTGGTGCTGAGGAATCGAACCCAGGGCCTCCTACATGCAAGGTAAGCACTCTACTAATGAGCTATCTTCCCAGCCCTAGAAACTTTTTCTTTTCAAAAAACTGTGTTTATGTTTCCACCTATTTCAAATGGGAGCTTGTGGATGAGAACTGGGGAGGGGAAGGTTGGGTGGCTTGTTTGGAGATTTGCTCTTCTGACTGGGAGGTTTATAAAGAAGGTTAGCCCCAAGCCAAGGCTAGGTCCCCAGGGAACAGGAACTGCCTGAAGTTCTGGGTCCCAAAAACCTTTGCAGAGAGACGTCAAGACCACCATACTCCCTCTCCCTGCCTCAGGCCCTTCCACTGGTTAACTTAAATCTTCGATATCTTGCATTTATCAAGAGCACCTTTGAGAAATGTGAATTTCTGAGGTAGTCTCCAAATGCCCAATTATCTAAGAGCCCCAGGATGGCTCTTTCACTACAAAGCAAAATTCATGATGAACTTTTTCCACTTTTCTTTTTTGGAAAACCCAAGCAGGTTGTCTTCATGACTGATACACAGGAAGCATGGTTCGTCGGTTGGTTTGAGATAGGGTCTCACTGACTACTCCAGTCTGGCCTAGAATTTAAGATCCTCCTGCCTCAGCCTCCCCAATGCAGAGATTCCAGGTGTGTGCCACCAATCCAGTAAAAGTATTTTTTATAAAACAAAACACCTTTTCTGGGTGCAAGTGTTTGCTAAAGGACACATGGCACAGGGGGGCAGTGATTTAAGCACATCAGGGCTGTGGAGGAGGAGCTTTATGCTTTTGGGTCCTCCCTCGGCTGGCAATGCTTTTGTCCCCATCCTCTTCAAGTCTGCGCATGGCAATCAGCGCAGACCTCCGAGGGAGCTGTGGTGCAGCTCAGGTAGACTTCTGGACATTTGTAAACCAAGAAGCCATACCTACCTTGTTAAAATATTCATGAAAGAGAAGGAATTACTCAAATAGTTCAGTTTTTCCAAAAAGAAAAGTATTGCAAGAAAAATAAAATTTTTATTCCTGAAGACCACAGACTTTTCCACATTAATCACATCTGCAGAATAATTATTTAGTTCTCCATCTGTTTTATGGGTGTGACTAATTCCTGGAGTGTCTGAGACTTTGAAATCTTAAGATGGAGGAACCCTAATTGAAAAGAATTTTCATTCAAAACATGATCCTTCTGGGATGGTACACACGAACACATTTGCGTATTTTCTCCCAGTATAGGCTGCATGGTGCGAACATGTAATTTGGGTGTGTATGTATATGTCTATTTGTATATTTGGGGTGCGAGTCTCATGTTCCCTTAATAAGCAGAGGTTATATAGGGTGTGGGGTAGGAGGGTCAGCCCCTTAACTCTCTCCGATCCCACTCTGGGTCTGCAACAGCGTCTTCTTCCTTCCAAGCCCTTGATCCTCCTGAGCGTGGGCCGGCCCCCAGGGCCGCCTGGGACTGCCTCCACAAAGACCTGGAGAACTGATTTCAATATTTTCTCTCCTCCTGGTAAAATATTTATTAAAACTGTGCAGAGCAAGAAGTCCTCCTCTGCTTGCTTCAGAAACTGTTTGCCTGTAAACACGCTGACCTGGGCTGGGGGAGCCGAGCGAGAGGAAGAGACCAATGCCCATTATGTTCGGGCTGAGGCTCTCAGGGAGGGAGCAAGCCCAGGGGGCTGCCCAGAGCAGACAGCAGAGAAACCAACTCCAAAAGACATAAAAAGAAAAAAAGAGGACTAGGAAATATCCCAACTCCTCAGGCTGGGGTCAGGTTTTTATTGGTGAATGTCTTTACGGCAGTCTTCTTTGGGAAGAAAACATTCTTAACCTACAAAGATAAACTAAGTAGAAGTAGTTAAGAGAAGAGAAGAAGAAGGAATGCCGCTACTGATCTTTCCTCCCTCCTACCAGCTCAGAAATGAGAAGGCAGGAGAGGGCAGGAGGCAGGGAAGATTCCAGAAGCAGCACTGCTTTCATGCACTCACCGTTGACGAGGCCATATTTCTGGGCCAGGAGGGCGGCCTGCAAGCTCTTCCCGCTGCCCACGGGCCCACACAGAAGCACCCTGGGGGTGAATGGGGCATTGGTTCGATGGTTGGTTTGGACGTAGGTCAGTGCTAGAAAAAAAGAGGACATGAAAATAAACCACTCAGGACAAAATGCTGAGGAGTCCTGTCCACACCACCACCTCTGTTCTGGCTCTTGCATGGCCATAAGGAGCTTTCTCTTCTACAAACTATGGACATCCTCTATGTATCTGACCCTCAGACCAGAGCAAAGCAGTGGGGGAGGAGTCACACACTGGGCCAGGGCTGTGGAATCTACAGGAGCCCTCTCTGAGCTCCGCCCTGGAGTTCCTCCTCAGCATGGAGTGGGCCACTAGAGCACTGGGTTGGGTATGTGTGGGCAGGAAGCTGGCCAGGACGGCTGGGTTTAGAGGTTCCCAAACTGCATCAGGCTGAGCCTCTAACCCCAGAGCAGGCTGGTCTCCTAGGGGACACAAGTGCTGGCTTTCTTTGATGGCTGTGCCAGGTGTCAGGCACCAGCTTTGATAAGTCATCACACCCTTCGGGAGGGCCCGGCACATGGTGACTTCTAAAGGACTCACGAATTGGTGGAGAATAATTTGTGCAGGCACATTACAATGACGAGACTTTGTTCAAAGTCTCCAAAAAAGAAATAGATCATAGGAGTGGGCAGATGTGGCCACATGGCCCTGGCCTGGGGTGTAAAATGGAATCCAGCATCTCCAACAATAACTGACCTGCACCATGGGGTACCAGGGACCCAGAAGTCACTGGGTGCTCATCCAGCAGGGCCACCCGCTACACCACAGAGCACAGAGGGCACCATGAGAACAGGTGCAGGGGAGAGCCGCTCCCCAGGTGTCTGGTACATCTGGCGTTTCTCCCCTTGGCACTTGGTCCTTTGGGACCAGGTGGGGTTCTATGGTGGGGCATCTGTGCAGGGTGTTAAATGACCCCTGGCCTCCATGGCACTAGGTGCCAGTAGCACAACCAGACAGATGTTTCAGGCTTCGGCCGATGTCCTCCCTTTGCTGATGGAGGCTGGGGTGAGATCCATTCTTTGTGCAAATTCCCACCTTGGGAATCTGCAGCATTCTCTCATTGAATGGCTCATGTGTGACACTACAATCCTCTCTTTTTAGAACTAACAGGGAAGGTAAGTTCAAGTTGGCAGCTGCTACCAAGACTGTCATCATCATCATCACCATCACCATGGCTAGCCTGGATCAACTGCTAAGCCAAATACTCAGCAGGCAGTGACTGACCCACAATCCCACGTGGGAAGGATAATTATTATTCCATTTTACAGATGAGTCCATGACGCTTAGAGAGTTGGTAGAGTTGGGCACTTTTCTATTTCCACTGCCATAAGTGCCACTGCCCACCTGAGAGCCATGAGCAAGAGCTACAAGGGAACTTCCATACCCACTGCCTCTGACAAGCACAAACACTACTGGCAAGGCAGCCTGCTTACAAACGATACTTAATTTACAGTAAATAACTAAGTTAATTAGAAGTAATGATCCCCCAGACAGTCTTAGCATCTAATTATTATTTTTAGAAATATGTGGTTGCGAGATGCACTACAGAGAGATTAAAAAAACAACACAGAGAGAATTTTGCATTCCCATTTTCAATTTATCTCTCCACATTATTAATTAATAATAATTAATATTCAGACACTCACATTTTTATTTACAATTCTGGGCATGAATTCTTTATGAACAACCATATGAACTTTTAAATTTAATTAAGTAATTTGGAAGTAATTAATGTGTAAATTCGGAATCATGGCATAAGATAAATGTGGAGGGTGTTTATCTTGAGAGTGCAGTGTCTGTCTTTAAAGACCCTTCTGAGACGTAAAAGCACTGGAAAATTAGAAGGCCATCTAGGCCTGGAATATTTAAAGCAGTGTCATTTTCTAGACACTTTCCCCTTGGGAGCTGGCAGCGTTGAGAGGAGGAGCTCTCTGCGGAGTATGTAACAGGAGAGGGTGGCGGAAGGGTGGGCAGGGATGGCGTTGAGGAGCTCCGACCACCTCCATGAAAACGTCTTGTTTGAGATAGGATCTCCTTATGTAGCCCATGCTAGCTTCAAGTTTGCTTTCCTTCTGCCTCCACCTCCTGAATGCTGGAATTGCAGGCATGCACCATCACACCTGGCTTATATCAAAACCCTCTTAACTGTCTGTGATGTCATTTTATTGTGCCAAAATGGACCAAGTGCTTCATTTACCTGGTGATGGATGGAAGAGGGTACCTGGATTTTTGAGACAGCAGGCCTTTTCAGAGTTCTATACGGCTACTTTAGGATAGAATTATCCCACCTCTCCTAGCCTTTTTGTACAGAATGCTGAATAACAATATACCAGGAGTGTCAAACAGGCAGCGGGCCCTGCTCTGTGCTGGGCACAGGACTCAGCAGCAGGTATGTGATTTAGAGACTTGTCATCTGGGGGGAAGGCACGTCCCCTTTCAGAGAATACTGCTGCTGTTTCCCAGTTTAGGGCCCATCCATGACCTGATCCCTGGCATCCCAGGCACGTCCTGGCCACTGGCATCTGCTAGCATGGGGGAAGCTGAGATGTGGAGGGGAGAGGCAGGCAAGCCTGGCCCTTGAGTCATGGTGCTTGTGTTTACCCTGGTAGAAGACGTCCACACATGGCTGATCAGCACTGATGTTTTTCAGGATTTTGGGGTAAGAGGGCAGGACTCTGACAATGTTCCTGTGATAGTCCAGAAGCTTCTGAGCCGTCTCCTGCTCTGAGATGCCTTTCGGCTCAATCAGGCGGTTCTGGATTTCAGGCTCAGAGGGCCAGTCGAAGGTGGTGTGGTAGATCTCTACCAAGAGAGAGAACAAAGTGAGACTCCCTGCCCAAAGGTGGCTGTGGGCACACATATCTGGCTGGGTGCTACTGTCCCAGTGGCTGCAGCCTGCCAGTTCCCATGGTGTCACTGATTGCAACAGGCCTGTGTTACAGTGGCCTCAGTTCTGAGCCAGTTCATACTATGTTTATGGTTGCGAGTATGCTAGTTACAAGCACAGTCACCAGGACCCAGCCCAAGGCTAAGGGCTCTATGACCCTCCAAGTACTGACTCCCAGAAGGACTGCATACACACTGCAATTACACAGAAATCTGGGCACACAGTAGGCCTTGTGTTCCATTCCCAAATCCAGACTAGGAAACTAGAAAGGGGCGGGGCCAGGACGTCACAAGCCCAGGTCTACGAAGACCACTCTCCTTCTCATGGCCCCTGGCCCCTGTGAAGCCAATTGGTTCCAACACCCAATGCCCTACTGGGTCCCACCCCTGAGCATCCATCAATTCCCCAGATAACACATCCCTCTCTTGTATACACTGCAGGGAGGTGGGGGCGCACTCAGGCCCTGAGCCAGGAGGCCAGCCCAGTTGCCCCATGGCATAATCTGCACGGGAGCCTGGTGCCGCCCGGGGCAGGCCCCTCCTTTCACTGTGTGTGCCTCTGCGTCCTCCTGTGCTGGAACTTGTTTGTGTTCCTGCACTTTCTGGCTCAGAGATTCTGCTGGAGGCTCCTCTGCCTGTATAGCCTTTTTGGCACACGTGGCCTCCTTTGTACCCTCTGTGATGCCCTGAGCAGAGCCAGTGCTCAGTGAAGTGCAGGGCTAAACAGTAGGGTGGGGGGAGCCTGTATTCTGACTGCTCCAGAAATCCATGGGGATGGGTGCAGAGGCAGCCATACCTCCCGTGAAAGGGTCGATCCTCTTCCCCAAGTTTCTCTCAATAAGGACAGTGTCTGGCGCATTCAGCACAACTAAGAAGGGAAACAAAGGAACAAAATCAGGGATGCTGGGCAGTGAGGGCCAGCCACACAGTTTTGTCTTGTGGACTTTTGCTGTCTAATGATGTGAACACCACTAACCTCCCAGACTTCCTAAAAAAAACAACTTCTCAGCACTAAAATGCAAAGAATGTTCTTTGAGGAACTGCTAATACATTCTCTGTCCTAAATGACATGGAGGCAAACATCCCTGCCCATCTGCTCTGCCACATTTCCCAGTGTTTGCTGACTATTCCCTGAGAGTTTGGAGACTGAGGACAAGGAACCATCCCACCTTTTTTCAACCATAAGCCTGAAATGCATTCAGCCTTGGGGAAACTAAAGCTACACTGAACTCAACACAACTTTTTCTCAGGAATCACAGACCCCTCAAGCCCTTCTGTGGGTAGTGGCCAGGCCAGGCCCAGGGTGGGGATTGGGAGCCTGTGACAAAGAACAGGTCACCCACCTACCTGTGGGTGCAGGGCAGGGCTCACCCTCCTGGACCAGCCTCAGTGGGGGCCCCCAGTACTCACTGGCGTGCCTGGGCGCAAGCCCCAGGGTCTGGATCATCAGCACCTGCTCCCGTGTCTCAGGGATACCATCCAGGATCCAGCCCTAGAGAGGAGGTGGGGTTTTTGTTTTGTTTTGTTTTATTTTGTGTCAGTTATGGGGCCTGGGTGCTGTCCCTCAGCACTTCAGCTCAAGGTGAGTGCTCTACCACTTAAGCCACAGAGCCACTTCCAGTTTTCTGGTGGTTAACTGGAGACTTTGCTGTCCCGGCTGGCTTTGAACTGTGATCCTCAGATCTGAGCCTCCTGAGTAGCTAGGATTACAGGCGTGAGCCACGGGCACCAGATGGAGAGAGGAGGTTTGGAGAGGCACTTCCCTATTTTTATTTTGAGAGTTTGGGGAGAAGCATTTGGCAGATCAATTCATGCAACAGCAGGCAACAATGGTTTCCTTTCCCAAAATGTCTATTCACGCCAACATGTGGACTCCTTGAGGTTTCAGCTTTTTATTTATTCACAGAGCTCTTTACATATTAAGGCTCCTAGTCCATGTGAGCAAACAGCCACAAACCATTCACGGCAAGCAATGCTGCCAATACTTTCTGAGGTTTGTCTGTGACATTTTAATCTTATATATAGTGTTCTTTGAAATATACTGGTTTCCAGCTAAATCAATCACTGCTTTTCCTCTTTGGATTCTGGCATTCATGGGTACAGGGGGAAAAAAAAGGTGGTTTGCCCTGCCTAAGCCCATAAATATTCACTTGCATTTATATTATGTTCTCTGATGTTAGTACTCTTCACACTTCAATATTTAATAGAACTGCATCTTCTTTTGTGAATCCCACGAAGCTATGATCTAAGTGTTTCCTGTGGCTCCCCAGCTGGCCTAGCACATCCGTGACACAGCGCCCCCCCCTCTCTCTCTCTCTCTCTCTCTCTCTTTCTCTCAAATGTCTCTTTTTTTCACAGTCTAAGTGTTGATGTGACCTTGGTTCAGGCCTCTTTCTGCCTATAGATTATTAAAGTATTTGTATTTAACCTTTTAAATCACTGTTTGATAATTTATTGCTATACCTAATAGAATATGCTCCCCTATTCTTTTTTCTTAAGCCTCGAGAAATACTTTGGCAGGTTCCAAAATGGAAATGCTCTGAGGGTTTCGGAATGACATAGTGCATGGATTGATTCATGAAGAAGCGACACTTCCCCGGTATCATGTTGATGTGCTGTCGTGCCATTTGCTTAAGCTATTTTCTTACGTCCCTCAGCCATGTTAACATTAAACAATTTCTGAAGTCCTTTCAAGTCCTGGGAGTCTACACACACACACACACACACACACACACACACACACACACACACACACACACACACACTATTATGCTTTAGACTTCATATCCAGATAAAGCAAGTATTGCAATTGTCAATAAAACAGCAAACTGCTTCAAGTTCCTATTGTGTAGTGAAGGGGAGTAGCCACCTTGAATTGAAATTGACTTTTTAATGTTTATACTCCCTCCAAACAAGCTCATCCTCTCTCCAATCCCCCCTCAGCCATTATGAGTACTTGGCTGTTGAGGTGGGAGGATGGGCTGATGCACAGGAACTCTGGCTCAAGGGCCTCAAAACACACACCGCTCCTTTCCAGGACCCAGTCAAAATGCTGGCAGAAGTAGCTTTTGTATTTTTTTTTAAGTGCCTGCATTTCTTCACTATTTCAGTATATACGTTGCCACAGCCTCAACTGCTAGTTTTAAAAAAAACTAAACAAAATTTCAGCCTAAAAAGTGTTGGAAAAACCAGGCAAACTTTCATTAATTTCTCAAATTATACAGGAAAACACAGCTACGGAACCCTGGTTTCTCGAACTAATGAAGCAAAAGTACAAAAAAAATTTTTTAACATCCTTTTGCTCCCTCAAGTCCTCGTTAGAGCTACCCAAGCGCTAGGCTGCGGCTTTTTTTCTTTTCTTTTTTTTTTTTTTTGAGAGCAAACATCTACAGATGTGAGCAGCTCCACATGAAGCAGAGCCCAGCGTCGGAGCTGCAGGTACCAGCTCCCTCCCTCACAGGTCCAGAAGTCGAACCAACATTTCCTAAGCCTTAGCTAAATTCCTGCCTTTTGATTTTCTCTTGATTTGGAGGGGCCTGGAAAAGAGTCATAAGCCCACTGATTGCCTGTACAACAAGGGCTGGTAATTCTGCTTCGAGTCGCTTTTTGAAGCTGGAAGAAGGCTGGAGCTCATCTTCGCTCAGCACTGAGAAAGACCTCTTCTTTTAATATTGCATTAACTGAGCAATCATTATAATCTCACCCATAAATCTGCAGTGGATATAAATCAGTATGTGGTCCAAAGCTTTTAGAAGTATTCAGAGGAACAGCACTCCCTGACTTCACGCTGGAAGAACCGGGCCTTCCAATTACTGGGAAAAGCGAAGCAAAATGAGTTACATCTCCCTGATTAGTTGGGCCTCGCTGGTGTCATTCTATATGCGAGATTTTAGGAAGAAGGCAGCTGGGGCTCAGAAATGGGGTCCAGGCCACCACCTCTTCAGGGTTGTTCTAACCTGGAAGTGTGGAACACTCATGAGGCACTAAGGGCCCCAAGGACCCCTGGAGTGGTCCCTGTCCCATGGGGGGGGCCTCCTCACCCCCTTGCTGGTCCCAGTGGCCCACATAGGTCCCTCTGGGAGGGAGAGCACATTGGTGAGGGGAGCCCAGGCTTAGTTAGCACTCAAAGGATATTCTGTCCTAGAGAGTTTGCACTGGCTGAGGTTATTTGCCCAGTTGCAAAATGGGCTGTGCATTAGGGGAAACGGCTACTTTGATGGCTGTAGATTTTGGCAAAGCCAGGAGTCGTCCATCAGGAACTTTCCTCCAACCACCACCACAGTGGGACACTAAGATGTTCGCCACAACCCTGCACGGCTGGGTTGGTGGGTCTGATGGCCAGGAGGGGCCGGATGCAGAGATGCAGTCAATCCCTAATTAGAATACATTATCCATCTTCCTGACACTTCAGTGAAATGTCTGTTCCACTCTGGAGCCGCAGCTTTGTTCAGAGCAGGTTAATTGATATTCTGATGCCTTCACTCGCCATACCCCCGTGGCTTGGTTCTGTTTTATCACACATCAAAAAGGCCGTATGCTCAGGGCGCTCGGGGCTCCGCGCAGAGCTGGAGGTCTGCACAGCTGCACGGGGCACGCTATCACAGGAGGGACAAGCACCGAGCAGATGTCACAGATGAAAAAGAGGAAAGCAGAGGAGCCAGGCAGCCTAGGGATCTTGGCGAGGCTCAGCAGAGCACGGCCTGATGCGGCACGAGCCGTCCAGCTTTGTGCGAACACTGGCCTTTGCTGCCCTCCTGACTACTATTAAAGCACAATTAACAACGGCACGTGGGAGCCTCTGCTGCCTTCTGGGCAGCTGCCCTTTTGATGCCTTGCCCTCCTCCCCTCCCAATGCCAGAGTCCATGTTGGGTGCTCCCCTGGGTCTTCTCCCAGCACCCCAGCAATCCCAGCTTCTAGCCCTGGCTGTGGACTCTGCACCAAGGCATTCCCCAGAGCTTCATGCTGATTCCCGTGGGGGCATGGGGGGAGGGGGAGCACGGGGCCGGGGACAGAGGCTTGGAGTCCATCAATCATATTCACATGGCTCAAAGCTGAAGCCCAAGAGGCACCACAGAGCCAACACCACCCTAAAGAAGTAGTTATGTGAGTCCAACATGCCAAGGAAGTATTTCATAAGCCAAAAAAGTAATACATTTCCAAAGATCTAGTTTAGGGTACTGATGTTTTCTAAAGCCTGTCAGTGAGAACAACATAACAACAGCCATCTGCCCTTCATCACAAGAGATACCAGAGGATCTCTACCACCCCAGGGGACCGAAGCCTGGGACTGGATTAAGCCAATCTCTCTCTCTCTCTCTCTCTCTCTCTCTCTCTCTCTCTCCCTCTCTGAGTACTGACAGATCTTAGCAATGTCTGCATATGAGGGGTTTTCCTTCGTCAACAAGGAAGAGCTTTGCAGCTTCTTTGCGGTTTGGCCAAGTGGCCAGCAGCAGCACTTTGTATTTGGGGCATCGTTATTACGAGAAGGCTACCAGAATTCCAGCCCCAGGACACGTGGTGTGATGACTCAGGCTGTTCTGCAGCGAGGGCCAAACGTATGGACGCACTGGACAGGAGGTGGTTCTCACCTTGGGGGAGCAGGACAGGGCAAGATTTCGATTGACCTAGAACAGTCTGCAATGTAAGACTTATATGTGGTTTAGCTCTGGAATTTTCCACGCAATACTTGACCCCAGGTGACCAGAACCACAGAAAGCAAAGCCTCGGCTGAGAGGCACATCCTCAAACTTGGGTGGGCCAGCTGCTTTGGCTCATCCAGACGTGAATGGCTTGGCCTGCCATGCCACCCTAGCAAGCCAGCAGAGTAACTCAGTTAACAGATGACCAGCCAGGACCTGCATCCTGAAGTTTAATCTCAAGCAATGCAGGCGCCTGTGGCGGCAGTGTTTGATGTGTGCACTGGCAGCAGGTAGCAGGACAGGTAACTTCTCAACTTGTTCCCTGCTCTGACTTCACACAGAGCTGCTAATCTCACTCACACCTTGAAGCATGCAGGAAGTCCACCACACTGGTGATGTTCCATGCAAACCAGCAGGCGCAGGTTAAAAGTCCCCATCTTCAGAATGGTCCAGTGTGGGATTGTTCACTGGGCTTCATAAAACGTTAAGGTACTGGGGTCTGATCTTAGGGCCTTGCACTTGCAAGGAAGACACTCTACTGCCAAACCATGCCTCCAACCCTGCTTTTCACTGGTTATTATTATTTTTTATTACTACTATCATTTGCCAGTCCCAGGGCTTGAACTCAGGGCCTGGGGACAGTCCTTGAGCCTCTTTGTGCTCAAGGCTAGTGCTCTACCACTTGAGCCACGGTATCACTTCTGGCTTTTTCTGAGCCGTTTATTGGAGATGGGTCTCACAGGCTCTCCTGCCCAGGCTTGTTTTGTACGGCAGTCCTCAGATCTCAGCCTCCTGAATAGCTAGGATGACAGGCGCAAGCCATCAGCACCCAGCTTTACTGTTTTTTTGTTT